TTACATTATAAAAGAATTAACTCATGATCAGTAAAATGCAACTAATTTCATAAAGATCATCTTACTCATTTTTTAGATAGGTATAAGCATTTGAAAAAAGTACATTTTTCATCAAAAATAATTTATAACTTTATAACCATGCGACATTGAAAGTTCTAAAAATTTCTAGATCAAATCATTTGCGAGAAATCGATGTACAAAAAGTTAATGTGAAACACTGAATTTGTAGGCGTCATCCTAATGTACATTTCAGTGCCAACATTTCAAAGGGGTGTAATTGCATTTGTAAACAATGGCTTTAGTCGTCGATTTCTCGCGAATGAAAGCTCACTCATGAAAATTAATGACACCAGCACGCAGAGGAATGTTTCCTGTATCCTGTATGTTTGTAATTTGGAGGTGTGGGTTTTCATTTGCGAGAAATCGACGTCTAAAGTCATTATTTACAAAAGCAATTACGCCCCTTTGAAATGTTGGCACTTATTTTTAACACCAGTTTAAAACGAGAACCATTAGAGATAGACAATTTGAATTTTTAACTAAGGTGCTTCAAATGAATTATTCTAAAACTATGTTTAAAATTGTGCAGGTTTAAAAACTAAAAAGTTGATATTTTGAATTCAATAACCATAGGAACCACCCTAATTTAGCTTACATAAAAAAATGTCCAAAAATGTATAAAAACATTACTGAAGACACCATTAACCTTAAGATAAAGCAAACATTTTTGTCTTCTTAAACACGGCTTTGGGACCATTGTGCATTTGTACAACCTCCCTCTAATCATCGTCGCTCACGACAGGTCTTATGCGGGCTATAACATTTAATGAGAAGAGGTTTGTTAGAACTAGATGATTGACTAAGATCTAGACAATCTCTCGCGATTTTCCGACCGGATGCATATGATTAGCCGGCTGACTCAAGTTTCGTTTAGCCGGTAAGAGGATAGGTGACGACTTTGCATGACTTCTGAGGAACATCGATTACACGGTTGCGCACCTGTTGGATCGGATGGTGTTCGGTAATTACCACTTTGATAGGATTTCAAATACGTACAAAGTGGATAGACATGTATTTTCTCGTATGCTTGAGATGGTGTTTTTTGCTTATTATCATCGGTCATCGTTTGAGAAGTAGGACACGCCTGACTTCTTATAAAATAAGAAAGAAGGCAACTAATTCCCTGCGGTTATTGTTGAGGGTATTCCCGGATTGCTTGCATGCTTCGTTCCCAATGCCATGCCAGGTATCTACATCAAGTCTGATTCAACTGCTGTGAGTCAAATTTAATTGATTTCCTTTCATCATAAATTTGAGTGGATAGATGGGGGCGACCCCGGCGTAGTGGTTAGCATCCATACCTCTCACGCCAAAGTCACGAGTTCAAATCTCACCCTCGGACAAGTCACGAACGACCCAAGAGCGTTAAAGTAACTATAATAATAATAATACTCATAATAATAATAATAATAATAATAATAATAATAATAATATAATAATAATAAAAGAGTGGATAGTGTTGTTAGAAAACACATTGGGGTTTTAACATCAATTTTAGCAATCATAGGAGTAGTCCCAAGGAAAACATTTTTTTGGGTTCTATTCCCAGTCCGGACTAAGCATTTTTCGGGTTGGAAAATTTTTCGACTTCCCTGCACAGATAAAAATTCTGACTTTTAATAGTGATGTAAACATTCATTCACGTAAACTTGTATTTCATTTCACGCAACCGACAATGTTGCTTACAACAATGGGCTTTTGTATACAATATTAGCTACATTGCATGAAATGTCTCAGAACTTTACATGATATATAATGTAAACTTATATGATATGTGACGCTCCATTTATGTGCATCATACTGAACAGAAATTTACACTATTTTTTTCAAACTGTGTGGGCAAAAGAGTATGATTGTACTTGCCATACAGGCATCGAAAGCTCTCAATTAATAACTGTGAAAGTGCAGCTGGAACACTAAGCTTAGAGCACACAATAAGCTAATATGCGATAAGCAATAAGCTTGAAATGCGAAGAAGAAAAAGAAAAAGAAGAAAAAGAAGGGTTCTGTTGTCACCATTTAATGATAAAAAATAAAATATGACTTTTTTTCTTAATTATTGGCGAGCAACATGAAATTTTACTTCCGCAACTGGTACAAATATTTAACTTTAGACTTGGCGTAAATTTACACGATACTTTTCGTAAATTTATGCTAAATTTTGCATAAATTAGCAATGCAAGCTTGTATATCATTGTGCTGTTGATGCCAACTATAGCTATAAATTAAACGATAGGAATTTTTACACGGTGGTTTCTTTTATGAGTTCCTGAAGTCATTAATTTCACCATATCTTTTAAAATGATTTAAAATACAATGTGCGCTGCTAATTGGTATTTTTCATTAAAATAATCTCCATAACATTTTGAATTTACACCGTATGAAAAATTCATGTAAATTTCTGCCAGATATAGCGCACATAAAATAGGATTTAATAGAGGAAAGATTTGAGCTTGTTGTATTGTTATGAAGTGCACTGTATTTATGTACAATACTCTCACAATTGCAATGCAGCGTTTAGAACTTTGTTTTGTTTTCCAGCATGCTTGAGTGATTTCTTGTGTGAAAATTTTGTCTAGCACGTTTTTCCTTTGGATTCAAAATAACTTAAAAATTATCAAATATTAACTGAAATACCTTAGTGGTGCGGAGTTGATCACTTTAAATTTTCAAGTTTTTTTGCTTGAAAAATATTGCCTTTGTTTACATCCTCTCAACACCGCTAAACTTAGAACTCGTTCATGAATTTCTCATTATTTGTTTACAATTGCTTGATTGAACAAATATTTTATATTATTCTCTTTAAAGTGGTTATCAAGTAAGATACTGATAAACATTAAGTTCAACGGTCGAATATGTTTTTTTTGCTTTCCCTCAGACCCGTTATGACGTTACAATCATAAGTGATAGTACTTTTTCATTGGTATGAATACATTTTGTCATCTTTTAATATATGTACACTTGTTTTATTACTTTACAGTTTAATTTAAGGGTTCAATTTTGAGTGTTGAGCACTAGTGTTTTATTTTTTTGAATGAATCGGTTTAAAGGAACGTAAGCCTTGGTGTTGGCTCTGATCGTTGGGGTTTTTGTCAATATTAGTTGAATTGTTTTTGAGAACCATTTCGAGTGATTCCGCACAAAGTACACGGGAGCAAGTGGGACTGTGGGGTAAATGAGAACAGCCATTTTTAAATCTGAATGCATAACCATTATGTGCGTGACGGAGTACCTGGCTGAATGATACGGTGTTGAAAAAAGCAAACTAATGTCAGGGTTAAGTGTGGGTGCGATAAAATGGAAAACTCATAATATTCATAAGTCAACTATCAAGCAGAAGCCATGCAAGCAAGTTAATAAAGATCATGTGCCAAATAAACTATATGAATGATCACGGATATAGTTATGGTGTTCACATGGGTTGTATGTAGTTTGTAAAATAGGAAGTATTAATCTGATGTTTTGGCAAAAAATCATAAATAAAACACATGAATAAAATAATAAGTTTTCGTAGCGGGGCCGAAAATATTTTCCATCGCACTCTTATAGTACGTTCAGACTACAGAGTTATAACATGTTATAGCGCTAACTTGATGGTGGTTTATGTGTTGTAATTATGTGACAACTGTTATAACATGTTATAATTGCTCAGTCTGACCAGCGCTTTAGGGGGATTGCTGTATACAGGATGAGTTAGAGAAACTTCCAGTGATTTCACGTTTGTGTGATTAAAGATATGTATGCAAATGTCAGCTTGGATTTTTAGTTTGTTTAGCGGGGTGGGTGTGTTGCTAGTGTCCACGGTGCAAAGTGCATAGATTGGCCTAGTAATTAAGGCAATTGGAGAAAGGGTCGAACATGACTGAGCTAAGTTGAAGGTTATATAGGGGAAATGGATGTAATGTCGGCCTAAATGCCCCTAATTTGGGCCCATACATACATTCAGCAATCGACTAAATTTTCAATAGCGACCAAAAATATCCTTAAGGACCGTCCTAATGACGCGTTAATCTAGAAAAAATTGATGAATAGCTGATTTTTAGCGATTGGCCCAATCTTAGATCTATAGGCCAACATTAGAGCCATTTCCCCTCTGTACTGCAAGTCGGACTCGATTACCCCCGCTGATTTTTCACTCTATCATTGAAATCAACATTACCAACAGTTTGGGAATTTTCTTCTCTGTCTGATGGTGGTGTTACTTTGCGTGATTGAATGGTCAATTGAAAGAAATCGGCGATGAAAATGAAAAAAAGTCTACTGCAGATAATCTAAACCCACCTGATAGCAAACATTATCGCGAGTGTTCCATTTTGATGGCCATTTTCCTCACTGTCAATTACTCTGGCTTGCTCTGTTCAGATGACTATCCCTCATAGAACATGTACGATGTATTATGTTCAACTATTAAGACATTAGATTTTCATGTTGAAGTTTATAAGATGTATAAGATATGAAGACCTTGAAGTTGAATCCCTTCAGTACACTCTAAGATTTTTTTACAGGAGTCAGTATTTTTTTACTGGGTTTTTGAATTGCTGAAAAAGTCGGTAAAAATTCAAATGACCGTTATCCGTAAGGAATCAATGAAATCGACCAATATTATTTTCTATCATTAAATAGGGTTAACATAACTAATTATAAACAACAAATCAGAACAAATTTTCTAATTAATAAATTTTCCACAGATTTTTAAACTTTTACCGAACAGTTCCGCAATTCAAAAACTCAGTAAAACCGTACTGACTCCATTAGTGTGTAAACAATTATCCATCAATAAAATTGTGTGTAAAGCCTAGTTAATAATAATATTGTAATACAAACGCAATATATTTTGTTTGTATAGTTACAACTAGAAGCATAACAAATACAACAAATTTATTTTTATCATCACAGTCCACGCAAGTGCTCTAAACTCACAATATATTATCTACGCTCACCTGTAATTGAAACCTTAAGCAAATGCCACCGTAATTGAGCCTCTATTTGTAGACAAGTTTTCACGCATTAATTGCACGTTCTGAAGCAACACAATTAGCTCCACAAATATTTTGTAACACCGGTATACTTTCACTACCCTTTATCAACCACTAGAGAAGACACACATTCGGTTGGAAATTGTTGTTTTCCGCTCCGTTTAGTGGATGGTATCTACTGGTACAAATTATAGATCACTCGAGCACTTCATTGATAACCAGCAATGTTTCGTAAATGTCCGCGAGTTTTGTTTGTGTTCCTTTTTTACTCCAAGACTCTTCCGCCACCAACGCACAATAACACGGTGTGATAAAAATCGTCCGAATCTCACTACCCGTCACTCAGATTTTACTGACTTCCCGCAATTATCTTCGTTTTATCACTACTGGACGGAGGAACATACTTGCCAGTCGGAACTGCGTTGCCTCAGTGCCGGTCAAAATACGAACTCACACTATTCGTGCCAGAACGTTATATTAACGCTTTTATACGAACCACGAGCCTCTCCGCTTAGCTATGTACCAGTAGGCTTACAATGCATCACACAACTGGTCATTCATTTGGAATACGATCCCGTGCACGGAGTAGCGCAGAGCGAGCAATCAACAGCAGCGTTTGGCGCGCTCAACATCTTTGGGTAAAGCTGTTTACCTCTCGATAGTGCTACACGCTTTCGGTTTTCGGTTGGGTTCAAAACTGAAAAATAATCGTTTGTTCGGGAGACATTCTTTCTCCTATGAGAGGTAAAAGTCAATATTAAGTTTTAAATTTGTTCGCTCAATACAAGAAAAAAAAATAATAATTCAAAGTTCATCCACCATTAGCACCTCGATATGATACTCTTTTATATAATTAAGAACTTTGTTTCTAAATGGTATTTTTTTAAATTTTTAATAGCCTGAGCGAAAAAAATTCTGAGTGATTATTTTTAGCCAGGCGTCTACTTTGGTGCAAAATACGCAATACAAATCCGTTCATAAAAGTGTGGTGAGAACACACGCTATTCTTTTTTTTAACTCTTTATTTGTTTCATATTCAAAATAAATTACATTTAATTTTAACTTAGGTGCTCCAGTTACTACAGTTACTTACCAGCCTTAATTGTTATGATATATCTAAGTGTTTTTACATTGTTCCTGCCTTGGAAATTCAGTATTTTAAACAGGTTTTTTAACCCTACATGTCAGTATAACTCATCATTCGAAATTCTATGTACCTCGGTAGTGCTGTACCAGGGAGGCAACTTCAAAATTATCTTCAGAACTTTGTTCTGAATCTTTTGAAGTACTTTTTTCCTGGTAGTGCAACAACTGGACCATATTGGCACAGCGTAAAGCATGAACGGTCTAAAAACTTGTTTAAATATTAGGCAAACTTTGGATTTCCTGTTTATAAGAGGATACACACATTTGATATATTTGTTACAATTGGCTTGAATGCCCTCAATGTGATCATTAAAAGTTAATTTTTGGTCAAGTACTAATCCAAGATATTTCACTTGGTTTGACCAGGAAATTGGAACTCCGTTCATAGTGCCTATGTAACTGACTACTACTTGGTTTCAAAAATGAAGCTCTAGGCTTATGTGGAAATATAATAAGTTGGGTTTTGGAAGCGTTGGGAGAAATCTTCCATTTTTGTAAATAAGAAGAGAAAATATCTAAACTTTTCTGCGTCTACTGCAAATAACACGAAGACTTCTTCCTTTAGCGGAAATGCCTGTATCATCAGCGAACAAAGATTTGTGTGAGGCAAATCAGGGAGGTCCGAAGTGAAAATGTTATACAATATAGACCCAAGAATGCTACCCTTAGGAACTCCTGTTCTAACAGGTAGTCGTTCAGATTTGGAATTTTGATAATTTACCTGCAGAGTTCTGTCAGTTAAAAAAATTTAAACTAATTTCATAATATAAAGTGGAAAATTAAACTTTTTCAATTTAGCAATCAATCCTTCATGCCAAACACTGTCGAATGCTTTTTCTATGTCTATAAGAGCAACTCCAGTTGAGTAGCCTTCATATTTGTTTGAACGAATTAAATTGGTAACTCTTAAGAGTTGATGAGTAGTTGAATGCCCATGGCGAAATACAAAATGCTCATCTGCAAAAATTGAGTTCGTATTGATGTGAAGCATGATTCTATTCAAAATTATTTTTTCAAAAAGTTTACATATTGAAGAAAGCAAACTCATTGGACGGTAGCTAGAAGCTTCAGCAAAAGTTGTTCCAATTTTGAAGCCGGATAAAAAGGCTTCAATATTGGAACAACTTTTGAATTTTTCCATTTATCAGGAAAGTGTGCCAAATGGAAACACCTGTTAAATAATTTTACCAAGAAAGACAAGGTACTCTCTGGGATTTTTTGATTTCCATCATCATGTGGAGCTTTCATATTATGAAACTTTTAAGTTATAGATCTTACTTCGTCCAAATCAGTCCCCCAGGAATCATTACAACTATTTTCCCGAGAGAAGATATTCAGATAATCCCGAGCAACCTGATTCTCAATAGGATTAGTAAGACCCAAACTGAAATTATGGGAACTCTCGAATTGCTTAGCAAGTTTCTGAGCTCCTTCTTTATGCGCTGGAATAGGCTTTTGAGGTTTTTTCAAAATTTTTGTGAGTTTCCAAAAAGGTTTGGAACTCGGGTCTAATTTAGAAACATTATTTTCAAAAGTTTTGTTCATCAGGGCAGAGAATCGCTTTTTAATTTGTTGTTGCAAATCCCGCCAGATAACTTTCATGGCAGGATCGCGTGTTCTTTGATATTGTCTCCTAAGGACATTTTTAAGTCGGATCAAGAGCTGAAGATCGTCGTCTATTATAATTGAATCGAATTTAACCTCGTATTTTGGTACTGAGGCAGCTTTTGCTTCAACTATAGAAGTAGTCAGAGATTCAAAAGCATAATTAACATCATTTTTGGTTTGCAAAGGAATGTTTGGATCGAAGCTATATTCCATAAATGTTCGATATTGCTTTCAATCAGCTCAATGGTAATTGAAAGTAGAGCTGTTGGGATAAGAAATTATTTCATGGGATATTTCAAAAGTTACTGGAAGGTGATCACAACAGAAGTCAGCATGGGTAACTAATTGGCTACAAAGTCGACATGAATCAGTTAAGACCAAATACACACGCTATTCTGATTCTACCCAGTGAAGGGACATCCACATTACACGTTAACTTGAAAGTACCCATTAATGGTTAAAAAAGACCCATTTTGAAGAAAAGTGGCTTAACTCATCAAATAAGTAAATTTGTTACCCATTAATGAGTATCTATTACCCATTAATGAGTAACCGTTACTCGTGAATGGGAATATTTTACCTCATTAATGGGTACTTTCAAGTTAGTGAATCCGGATTCGGACGCGTTGCGGGAAGTGACAAGGTAAATCTTTGCTAAATGTCAAATTTACGTCAAAGCAACGCAAACGGATCTAATGCAGGAAGGCCGCGTAGAAGGTACCCGACCAACAAATCGTGAAACTTCTTCAAAGTTCTTTATACAAAAATAAAGATTTATGTCGGTAAATCTTTACGTTTAATTTTCTATGAATTCATGATGTATTAATTTAAAAATATTTAATGATCGATGCTTACATTTAAGATAATTTATTTATCAGTCGTATGATAGTAACATATAAAGCTGCTTTACTAAATTTCGTTCAATTTCGTTTGGTATTCTTTACAAATATTCATCTAAAAATATTTAAATGCTGATACCATCGTAGCTTTGAACTTTGGCAAAGAACAGCAAAGATTTCCATCGATGCACATTTATAATCTCCTTGTTGTCGGTTTGCATCACTGGGTAAAGAGCGTTTGATACGCACCAGATGACAGATGGCAATGTTTATATTATTTATCGACATATTTGACCCTTCATCGGAAGAAGTAGGATGGTAAATGAACGGGAACTTGAACTATTTTTAATAAGTGTGATTACATTTGCAAAAATCACCATATTAGCCGCCCCTCTGTGGTACTTTGTATGGAACCGAGCTGTCAATTTGTTAGTTTTGTGTCAAACGTGGTTATTTTGCATTAAATCTTGAGTGTTTTTTTTATATTACTTCATACGCGAAGTTAACGATTTTCAGAGTTGGTTGGAAATGCTAACATGAAGCTTTAGTGTGATGATTTATTAGCTAGAGAATGATCTTTAGAAGAATGTAGGTGGATAGTTCCGTTAGAGTACGGCAGTATGAAAATTGAATAGAAGTTGACGCACATTTTTGCCTAGCCCGTACGATGTACGCGGGGACTTGAAGTATGTCTCCAAGTCCACAGAAAAACTGTCGCTTTAATGGCCCTTCGCTCATTTTCAACTTCTATTCAATTTTCATACTGCCGTACTCTAACGGAACTATCCACCTACATTCTTCTAAAGATCATTCTCTAGCTAATAAATCATCACACTAAAGCTTCATGTTAGCATTTCCAACCAACTCTGAAAATCGTTAACTTCGCGTATGAAGTAATATAAAAAAAACACTTTGAATGTAACAACTCAAGGCGGGAGTAGCCGTCAACAATGCTGATGATGGTACAGCACGCAACAACCACCCTACTGCTTTCTCTCTAAGATGATCACGTTGGTCATGACGAGAGGAGCAACACAATAGTTGGGTAAAGAAGAACTGCATTATAACACACCATCGACTGGAAATGCTCTCGCGACGTGGGGCTTTAGGTAGTGATGAAAACGTCGCTAGAACTATTCCACAGCCGCAGTCAGTTTATGAGCAACAAGAGGGACGCACATTTTTGCCTGTGGACTTGGAGACATACTTCAAGTCCCCGCGTACATCGTACGGGCTAGGCAAAAATGTGCGTCATCTTGAAAAACTGTCGCTTTAATGGCCCTTCGCTCATTTTCAACTTCTATTCAATTTTCATACTGCCGTACTCTAACGGAACTATCCACCTACATTCTTCTAAAGATCATTCTCTAGCTAATAAATCATCACACTAAAGCTTCATGTTAGCATTTCCAACCAACTCCATTAAATCTTGATTTTAAAATTGGGATTTTTACAAAGGTAGCAATATTTTGAAAAAGATATTTAAATTTCTTTATGAAATGGTGACGATCGCTATCGAGTTTTCTTATGAATATCTTTGAAGATCAATACATCGAAAATTAAAAAAACGAAATGGTTGATCGGGTACAGAATTGTTAAAATCTGGGTAAACTAGTTTTGTTCTGATGAGTAGAATCTACCCAGATTAGATTAATTGCACGTTTATCAAACTTAAAACTGCACTGTTATGAAAGGGAGGTTTTTGCGCTGTCAGCGAAATATTAAATGTTCTAAATATCCTATAATACACTACTACTGAGAATTTAACAGCTATGGAACTGTTTGAATGGCGTTATTGGAAAGTATATTATATGTTTCGTCAGTGCAATTCGATACTGTATTGCTTGCATTGTTTTTTAAAAAGCATTGATACCC